TCGTATGCTTCATATATGCTTCATATGCACATATGCACATATGCACATAAGCACATATGCACATGACGCGCAATTCGACACGCAATTCAACGTACAATTAGCTGCGGAATTCAACGCGCGCTTTAGCGCATAATTCGATGCGCGCTTCAAAACGCGCTTCCGCGTCGAAATGAATGTCGTACGCGCTTCATACAGCGCGATTCGCACAGCTTTAATTGCGCAATTCGACACGCAATTCAACGTACAATTAGCTGCGGAATTCAATGCGCATAATTCGATGCGCGCTTCATATGAATGCCGTACGCGCTTCATACAGCACGATTCACACAGCTCTAAATGCGCAATTCGATGCACAGTTCAATGTACAATTAGCCGCGGAATTCAACGCGCGCTTTACCGCATTATTTGATGCACGCCTCAAAACGCGCTTCCGCGTCGGAATGAATGCCGTACACGCTTCATACAGCGCGATTCGCATAGCTCTAATCGCGCAATTCGACATGCAACTCAACATACAATCAGCCGCGGGATTCAACGCGCGCTTTGTTGCACAATTCGATGCGCGCTTCAAAACGCGCTTCCGCGTCGGAATGAATGCCGTACGCGCTTCATACAGCGCGATTCGCACAGCTCTAAACACGCAATTCGACGCGCAATTCAACGTACAATTAGCCGCGGAATTCAACGCGCACTTTAGCGCATAATTCGATGCGCACTTCATATGAATGCCGTACGCGCTTCATACAGCACGATTCACACAGCTCTAAATGCGCATTTCGATGCACAATTCAATGTACAATTAGCCGCGGAATTCAACGCGCGCTTTACCGCATTATTTGATGCACGCCTCAAAACGCGCTTCCGCGTCGGAATGAATGCCGTACACGCTTCATACAGCGCGATTCGCATAGCTCTAATCGCGCAATTCGACATGCAATTCAACGTACAATCAGCCGCGGGATTCAACGCGCGCTTTGTTGCACAATTCGATGCGCGCTTCAAAACGCGCTTCCGCGTCGGAATGAATGCCGTACGCGCTTCATACAGCGCGATTCGCACAGCTCTAAACACGCAATTCGACGCGCAATTCAACGTACAATTAGCCGCGGAATTCAACGCGCACTTTAGCGCATAATTCGATGCGCACTTCATATGAATGCCGTACACGCTTCATACAGCGCGATTCGCATAGCTCTAAACGCGCAATTCGACATGCAATTCAACGTACAATCAGCCGCGGGATTCAACGCGCGCTTTGTGCAACGGACCCACCGAAAAACACCCATGCCCACACGACAGCACGACCCAGGGGACGCCTCACAGCCCCGAAGCCAAATCCATACGATATAAACCACTATCGCAATATGTACCCCATGACCAACGCGGCCGTACGGCATAGTATAGCGCGTACGGCATAGCGTAGCATAGCATAGCGCGTACGGCATAGCGTAGCATAGCATAGCGCGTACGGCATAGCGTAGCATAGCATAGCGCGTACGGCATAGCGTAGCATAGCATAGCGCGTACGGCATAGCATAGCGCGTACGGCATAGCGTAGCATAGCATAGCGCGTCCGGCATAGCATAGCGCGTACGGCATAGCATAGCGCGTACGGCATAGCGTAGCATAGCATAGCGTGTACGGCGTAGCATAGCATAGCATAGCGTGTACGGCATAGCATAGCGCGTACGGTATAGCGTAGCATAGCATAGCGCGTACGGCATAGCATAGCGCGTACGGCATAGCGTAGCATAGCATAGCGCGTACGGCATAACGTAGCATAGCATAGCGCGTACGGCATAGCATAGCGCGTACGGCATAGCGTGGCATAGCATAGCGCGTACGGCATAGCATAGCGCGTACGGCATAGCATAGCGCGTACGGCATAGTGTAGCAGGGGATCCTCA